CACGCGTTGAGCAGTGGAGTGAAGGGAGAGATCTTGCCCTTTGGTTACTGATAGTGGAATTAAATTCTGGTATTATAAAATGTGACTCCAGATTGTAAGTGTTTAATTTACCTGGTTGCTTTGCTTTTTCTGTGGACTATGATTTATACTATTAACATATATTCAGGGGTGATAGATAAAATACTTAATAACCTCAATACTTCTGGCCAGAATTTTTCTATGTGCTAAATTTCCAAGGAGGGATCTCTTAGGAAAATCATAATTAGGAAGGTTGAGGGGGTGTGGAAAGCATGGGTATATAGTTATTTTATAATAGGTATATAAGTCTTTTAGTCTTCTAGTATTATAATGTCCTCATCCAGGAACCCCAAACAGGTCCTGCCTTTTGCTGCAGCTCAACCAAACACAGAGAGGCAGAATTGTTGAGAGAGGAAAGGAGAATTTGTTACAGTGTGGTCATGCTATCATGACATGTAAAAATATCTTTGACTGGTCAGCCAACTTACAGATGCTTTTCCAGGGGAAGGAAGACACTATGAGGCTAAGGGTTGTCTATTGAAAAGCGTAGATCAGGTGAATTTTTAACTGGGAGACAATCGAGCTATTAGTCTTCAGGAGTTTCTATTGAATAGCTAGGACAGAATGTCCCTCATTGTTTCAAGCTCCAACCGTCTGTCTCCTTGGAGACAGAGAAATCTCAAAGAGTATTAGGCTGAGAGAAAAGCAATTTTTGATTTAACAAGATGGAGTCGGTCTGGCTAAAGTAAGTCCCTGTTACAGGAGGTAGAATATTAGCCTGAAACAACCAGTCACACATGAGGTTGCCACATACCCCACTGAGGTTGTGAAGAGCATGACCACTCATGGCCTGTGTGACTGTGAGCCAGTCGGTAGCCTCTCTACACCTGTTTCCTCAGTAGCAAAATGATATTTAATCATTCCTAATTTGTAAGGGCTACTGGAAAAATGGTATGAATTTGTAAAGTTTGTAGGACAGTACTTTTTACAAAATATGCTTTATGTATTTGTTGAATAAAATCTCTTTTCTCCTCCATCAGAGTCCAAAGGAAACTTTGTTCTTGTTGTTGTCGTTTTGGAGAGGTTTTTGCTATAGGGTGCGTGCGCTTGCCAGAAAGACAGAGAGAGACAGAGAGACAGAAAGTCAGTGGAGTGAAGGGAGAGATCTTGCCCTTTGGTTACTGATAGTGGAATTAAATTCTGGTATTATAAAATGTGACTCCAGATTGTAAGTGTTTAATTTACCTGGTTGCTTTGCTTTTTCTGTGGACTATGATTTATACTATTAACATATATTCAGGGGTGATAGATAAAATACTTAATAACCTCAATACTTCTGGCCAGAATTTTTCTATGTGCTAAATTTCCAAGGAGGGATCATTTAGGAAAATCATAATTAGGAAGGTTGAGGGGGTGTGGAAAGCATGGGTATATAGTTATTTTATAATAGGTATATAAGTCTTTTAGTCTTCTAGTATTATAATGTCCTCATCCAGGAACCCCAAACAGGTCCTGCCTTTTGCTGCAGCTCAACCAAACACAGAGAGGCAGAATTGTTGAGAGAGGAAAGGAGAATTTGTTACAGTGTGGTCATGCTATCATGACATGTAAAAATATCTTTGACTGGTCAGCCAACTTACAGATGCTTTTCCAGGGGAAGGAAGACACTATGAGGCTAAGGGTTGTCTATTGAAAAGCGTAGATCAGGTGAATTTTTAACTGGGAGACAATCGAGCTATTAGTCTTCAGGAGTTTCTATTGAATAGCTAGGACAGAATGTCCCTCATTGTTTCAAGCTCCAACCGTCTGTCTCCTTGGAGACAGAGAAATCTCAAAGAGTATTAGGCTGAGAGAAAAGCAATTTTTGATTTAACAAGATGGAGTCGGTCTGGCTAAAGTAAGTCCCTGTTACAGGAGGTAGAATATTAGCCTGAAACAACCAGTCACACATGAGGTTGCCACATACCCCACTGAGGTTGTGAAGAGCATGACCACTCATGGCCTGTGTGACTGTGAGCCAGTCGGTAGCCTCTCTACACCTGTTTCCTCAGTAGCAAAATGATATTTAATCATTCCTAATTTGTAAGGGCTACTGGAAAAATGGTATGAATTTGTAAAGTTTGTAGGACAGTACTTTTTACAAAATATGCTTTATGTATTTGTTGAATAAAATCTCTTTTCTCCTCCATCAGAGTCCAAAGGAAACTTTGTTCTTGTTGTTGTCGTTTTGGAGAGGTTTTTGCTATAGGGTGCGTGCGCTTGCCAGAAAGACAGAGAGAGACAGAGAGACAGAAAGTGAGAAATCACCCCCACCCCAGGAGTGATGGCCACGCCGCAATCCCTTCTCCCCCATTCTCCTCTCGGGATCTTGGGCATGCATGCACACGCGCCCAGCGTGAGTTTTAAGCCACCGGGTCTGGGACATGAACCGCAGTCAACTACATGGGAGTCCAGTGACATAGCCATTACGCTAACTGCTAGTCCCAGGAAACTGTTTTTTAAATTGCTAGAGGGTGCAGTACCTGCATTCACCAGAGAGAGAGAAAGAGAGAGAGACAGACAGAGACAGATAGAGAAAGAGACAAAGCAATCCCAATGGGGGGTGGTCACACTGCAGTCCCTTCTTCATTTCTCTCTCCTATTATGGTTTGGGGAATACAGACACATGTGCCTGGCATATTTTCCAAGCCCCTGAAGCCAGGATTTGAATCATGGTAGCCATGTAGGATCTGGCTCTTTAAACCACTAGGCTAATGGGGCTGTCCCACCCAAGGAGACTTTCTTCTTCAAGTAAGACTTACCTTTCCTTGATTCAGCCTAGAGACCATAGTTCCATTAGTCCATACATATTGTAGCTATTAACACTGCCAGTCATTAATTTTATAGGAATTTGTGTATTGTTATTGCGATTGGTGGAGAAAACTTGAAATTTACGTAATTATAATTTTTTTGGAGAGGTTTTTGCTATAGGGTGCGTATGCTCACCAGAAAGAGACAGACAGAGAGACAGACAGCAAGAAATCACCCCCTCTCCATGGGGGATGGCCACACTGCAATCCCTTCTCCTCCATTCTCCTCTTGGGATCTTTGGCACGCATGCACATGTGCCTGGTGTAAGTTTGAGCCACCAGGCCCAGGACTTGAATTGCAGTCAACAGCAAGGGAGTCTAGCAGCACAACAATTACGCCAACTGCTGGTCCCTTTACATAATTTTCTAGAAGTCGTTTGAAGTGCTAATGGATCAAATAAAGGGATAATGAACATAAACAATTTTGATTAAAAGTTGTTGGCATAAAGTGGGAAATATGGCTTATATTTATTTTTGTTTAAGAGACTCAAAATTACAATTTTACTGTAAGAAGTTAGAATATTTGGGAACCAACAGTTAGCATAATGGCTATGTCGCTGGACTCCCACGTAGTCGACTGCGGTTTGCGTCCTGAACCCGGTGACTTAGAACTCACGCCGGGCGCGTGTGCATACGTGCCCAAGATCCCGAGAGGAGAATGGAGGAGAAGGGATTGCAGTGTGACCATCCCGCCTGGGGGGTATTTCTCGCTTTCTGTCTCTCTGTCTCTCTGTCTGGTGAGCGCATGTGCCCTATAGTGAAAACCTCTCCTTTTGGAAATGGAAGAGATAGAACACATTTATTTTAAATAAAGGTATATCAGTTGACAGTTGAGTGAACTCAGTGTAAGATGTGTTACAGTAACAACTTGAGTCATTTTTCTAAAATTATAGGTTCTTTCACCCCATTGGAGAAGTAGGAATTTTATAATATTTTTTATGATCTGTGTTGGGAAATACATTTATTATTAAGATTTTTGCATTGCTTAATTTTTACTGAACTTGGTCTGTTCCAGAATTATCAGACTATGCAGTGTTTATATTTGTTTCCTATTACAGTTTTAAGAAATGATCACAAACAAGCTCACTTGCTTAAGACAGCATACATTAGGGGTTAGCAGGTGATGTGGAGGTTAAGCGCTGGACTCCCACATGGCCAGTTGAGGCTTGAGTCCCAGACCCAGCAGCTTGAAAATCACTCTGGGTGCAAGTGTATGTGTGCCCCAAATCCTGAGAGGAGTATGGAGGAGAAGGGATTATGGTATGGCCATCCCCCTTGGGAAGTGATTTCTCACATTTCCTCTGTCTCTCTCCAGTGAGCAGAAACCTTACAAAAAAATCTAACAAAACAAATACACATTCATTGTCTTACAGTTCTAGAGATCAAAAGTTTAAAATAAAGTTTCTTTCTGGAGACCTGGCTCTTTGCCCCCTCCATTCTCAAAGCCAGCAGCGTACACCCCTCTGATTCTGCTTCCCTCACATCTACTGCATTACCTTTTTTCTTTTCCTCTGGGTTTGTCCTTCTTGCCTCCTTTTTTTTTAAAAAAAAAGTATTTTTTTAAAGAGAGTTTTGCTGTAGGGCATGTGCTCTCTCTGAAGACAGAGAGAGACAGAAGGTGAGAAATTACCCCGTGTAGGGGGATGGTCATGCTGCGTTCCCTTCTCTTCCATTCTCCTCTCAGGATTTTGGGCACACACACACATGCCCCTGGAGTGAGTTTCAAGCTGCTGTGTCTGGGACTCAAACTGTGGCTGGCCGCATGGGAGTCCAGTGCCTTAGCCACTACCATGCCGACCAGTTCCTCCTTTATTGATTGATTGATTGGCTGTAGGGTACGTGCACTTGCCAGAGAGAGAAAGAAAGAGAGAGAGAGAGAGAGAGAGAGGGAGGGAGGGAGGGAGAAAAGAGCATGCTCTGGGTGTAATGACTACCATTTTGGGATGTCTTTTCTCTCTCTCTTTCTCTCCTGTGCAAACACATGTACCTGAGTTCATGGAAAATGTGTGCCATGAAAAAACTGTTTATGGATTTCAAAAATATTTTGCACCAAAGTAAACTCACATTTTCTTTTTTTTTGGTAGAGATTTTTGCTATAGGGCACGTACACTTACCAGAAAGACAGAGAGAACCAGAGAGATGAAAAGCGAGAAATCACCCCCCAGGGGGAATGGCCACGCCGCAATCCCTTCTCCTCCATTCTCCTCTTGGGATCTTGGGCACGCACGCACACACGCCTGGTGTGGGTTTAAGCTGCTGGGTCCAGGACTCGAACCACGGTCGACTACATGGGAGTCCAGCGACATAGCCATTAGGCCAACTGCTGGTCCCAAACTCACATTTTAATTCCATTTTTGGGGAACCTTTTGAAGTCCCCTGGTATCTCAAGCTATTTAACTTAATGGCACCTGCAGAGCGCCTGTAAAGTAACATATTCCTGGGATTCTGATGTGACATTCTTGGGGAGCAGTCCTTCAGCTTTCCGTAGCGTTCATAATTTTTCCTAAGGCCTTTCATTTGATTGACTTACTCCACTCCCCAAAGAAAAAGGAATCTCTCCCCTCGCTTCAGAGGTTCCAGAGTTATTTTATTGATAAATTAAATAAATATACACAACCGTTGCTTCTTTTTTTCTGTTCCAGATCCTGGGTGTTTGGCTGACCTACAGATACAGGAACCAGAAAGACCCTCGTGCTAATCCTAGTGCATTCCTTTGATGAGAAAACAAGGAAAATCTTTCTTATTCTGATCTTGTTCACTTTCTAATTTTCAGTTAAGCTAATTTTCCCATTTAATGAAGGACACAGTATCTGAAAAGCTACATTATTGACAGTGGAACTATATATTTTTACTCCTAGGTTTCTCTATATGTTTTTCTCTCTCTGTTGCTTACAAAGAAGTGGAAACTTGTCTCCTCTGACCCTCAGTGGCACCTGTATTCTATCGTATTCACAGTGTCAGACACTGTCCACTGTGGCCTTTCTTAGCATTTTTACCTGCAGAAAAACTTTGTATGGCACTGTTGTGTTGATCATATTGTGAATCAGATTATTCTATTCATATCACTGGAATAAGTGTGCTTAGGTAGCACCGTGCTGTGTTGATAGTTCCTACTGGAAAAAGAAAGTTTACTAAGGCCAGGAAGTTTGAGATTATAACAAGTTAAGTTCACAAAGGGAAATCCAAATTCCCAATATTTTTTGTCTTTTTAGGAAAGATGTCTTGTGGTGAAAAGTGTTAATAGAAAAGTGATAATTTAGTTCTAGTAGCTAGTAGTCTTTAATGATTACACCAATGTATTGTAGAAGTAGCTATGTCTTTAGGAAATTGTGGTTTAGTTTTTGACTTTTACAGGTAAGTGCAAAGGAGAAATGGTCTCATAAAATGTTCTAACATGTATAACATTTACCTTCCGCCTTTAAAATGGAATGAGTTTGAGTAATTCAGAAAATATATCTATATACTCTTGAGATTCTTTTATAATAATTGGAAGTTGAAAAGACTGCATTTTTAAACAAGATTCTATTAATCTGTTGGCCCACGTAGCAAAAAGATATTTGATTAACTTAAATTGTTAAATACCTTTTTCATGAAATTTCTCAGTATTGTAACAGCAGCTTGTCAAATCCAAGCATATTTGAATGTGATCTCCCATAATTTGAAATTGAAATCGTCTTGTGATTCTGTCTATTATGTTCAAAAATTAAAGTTTGGAAACCTTTCTTTGTGTATGCATGTTTGAATTAAAAGAAAGTAATGGAAGAATTGATAAATTAAGTGAGGTGGTTTTTTTCTGCTTCTGCGTTAGGTTCTTTTTTGTCTTAGAGCTGAATATTGCCATTTTGGAAACAAGCCATGAAAATGAACTTCTAGACTAATGTCTATTGACAGTCATCCCAAAATTCTTTCTTGAGATGTTTTTGTGGTTAATATTCTCTCCATGGATTGGAAGGTTTTTTAGAAGAGAAGCCATGCCATTCTTGAGGTCAGCAGGTGGCGTAGTGGATAAGGTGTTGGACTTCCATATGGTTGACTGCGGTTTGAATCCCGGACCTGGCAGCTTGAAAATTATGCTGGAATTGTGTGTGTGTGTGTGTGTGTGCTCAAAATCCCAAAAGGAGAATGGAGAAGGGATTGTGGTGCAACCATCCCACCTGGGGAGGGGGTGTGATTTTTCACATTCTGTTTCTCTGTCTCTCTAGTGAGTGCACATGCTCTATAGCAGACATTTCTTTAAAAAAAATAAGTTGGGACCAGCAGTTGATGTAATGGCTATGTTGCTGGACTCCCTTGTAGTTGACCATAGTTCGATCCTGGACCTGGCAGCTTAAACTCACGCTGGGCGCGTGTGCGTGCGTGCCTAAGATCCTGAGAAGAGAATGGAAGAAAAGGGATTGAGGCATGGCCATTCCCTCTGGGTGGGCAATTTCTCCCGTTCTTTCTCTCTGTCTCTCTCTTTCCGATGAGCGCTGGTGCCTTATAGCAAAAACCTCTCAAAAAAAAAAAAAAGAAAAAAAAAGTCTTCCTTATTTAAATATTTTTTCATATTTATTTGGGAAAGATGCAGAAGTTCTTTCCTATTACCAAAAGTTACTAATTTCTTATGTTCTAGGTAGCATGTGGTATTAATAATTATGTTGATAGTTTTGGGCCAAAAAAGAGGGTGAATGGTTGATCTACAGAATTTTAGAGCATTTTGCAGGCCTGTCACTTTCATGACTGCAGTGCTAGCTAATAATATTCCTAAAACGGAACTATTTCCATCATTTTGTATTGAGTTCTAGGGCAGCCCTAGTAGTGTTTTCACATATACTGAAAAATGAAATAAATGACCCATGAAGGGAGTTATTTATTTTTTTAAAGAGAGATTTTTGCTATAGGGAACATGCACTTACTTACTGGAGACACAGAGAAAGAGAGAGAGAAAGCAAGAAATCCTTCAGGGGATGGCCATGCCACAATCTCTTCTCCATTCTCCTCCTGAGATTTTGGGAACATGCACACACATGCCTGGTGTGAATTTCAAGCCACTGAGTCTGGAACTCGAACTGCAGTTGGCCACGTGTGAGTCCAGCGATGTAACTATTACACCATCTGCTGGCCCCATGGAGAGAGATTTTTGAATTCTGTCTTCCTTTAAGACATTTTGTATTTTCTTTTTTTTTTTAATTACATTTTGTAATTTATCGAATGTTCTGGAATCTCCTACTTGATATTTATTTTTCTTGATATGGATGATTGTGTGTGCAAAGAGCTCATTTAGACAGACAGAACCAACCTTCGTTTATGCTCTAATTGCAGTGGCCTTATTTGTGTTATCCTGGTTAAAAATCAGTCTGGGAAGGATAAATTACTACTAAGTTGTAGGATTATAAGAGTGGTATTGACTGATGATTAGGCATATTTTCAAACACCAAGGGCAACCCTGTCAAATTAACCTGAGCCTTGTTCTCGGACAGATCCGAAGGTGGTACTCCTGTGAACTTAGTTTATCTGGATGTGCAGAGCTAGCTCCCATTGTACAGTGTATCTTACCGGCAAGGCCTCTGACAAGGTCAGTTCTGAATTACAAAGGGCTCTGCTATGAGCCTGCAGATGTCAGAATGACCCCAGGATTATAGGGGAGCTGCTGCCGTGTGCGCAGAAACGCCACAACACATGGCGTCAGAACAAGGCAAGGCTTCCCATGAGCATCTGTCCTCCAGCTAGAGCAAATGGCTCTAAGTCAGGTCCACGACCCCGGATCTCCTTCTTTCAAATCTAGCATTCTTTAAGAAGGAATGATAGTTCTATTCCCAATTTATAGGTTTCATTCAGAGGAATGTTGCTTAGAACATTTGCCCAACCTTGATGTTAAAGGTGAATTTTTAGTAAGAAAATGCAATATGAATACAAAGGGAAAACTGATCAGCTATAATTTCTAAAATCTGAGCGCTTTGTGGCCTGAATTTGTCTCAGATACTCTGTTATCTGAGCACAATAAAAGTATATTTGGTACAGGGCCAGCAGGTGGTATGGTGGGTAAGGTTCTGGATCCCACATAGTTGACTTGGCGGTTCGAGTCTGGACCCAACAGCTTGAAAAACATGCTGGGCACGTGTGGGTTGTGCCCAAAAATCTCAAAAAGAGAATGGAGGACAAGGGATTGCGGCATGGCCATCGCCACAGGGGCGATTTCTCACTTTCTCTCTCTCTTAAGAGAAATATGTGTGTGTGTGTGTGTGTGTATGTATATATATATATATACATGTATATATATATATACATATACACGTATATGTGTATATATATATAGGGTTTTTGGAAAAGTCAATGCATTTTTGCATAGAAAAACATAGAAAAAAATAAGTCATGACATTTCTGACAGCTACACACACACACACACATACACACACACACATATATGTACATATATTTGGTATGAGAATGGAACCTTTCAGAGAGAGAAAACCTGTGGTGAGATGTTCTTAGTTCTGCATTTTCTTGAGCTGAAACCACCTTCTGCAGTTTTTCTAAAGATTTGCTTAACCCTGAGGTTCTTCATTTTTTAGGAAACACATTAAATGAACAAAACTATTTCAGTTTTTAGCTGGCACTGAAAAAGTTATAATCATATTTTTTTTCCTTTTATATTGCCAGTGGTCACATGCGTTCACCACAGCGAGAGGGCAAGAAAGGACATCCCCCAGTGGGGCATGGTCAAGCTGCAGTCCTCCATTTTTTTCCCTCCATTTCTCCATCCCATCAGGATTTTGGGCATGCTGCACACGAGTCTGTGTCTTTTTATTTTTATTTTTTGGAGAGGTTTTTGCTATAGGGCGTGTGCGCTCCCCAGACAGAGAGAGATAGAGAGACAGAAAGCGAGAAATCACCCCCTGGGGGGATGGCCACACTGCAGTCCCTTCTCCTCCGTTCTCCTCTTGGGATCTTGGGCACGCATGCACATGCACCTGGCGTGAGTTTTAAGCCACCAGGTCCGGGACTCGAACTGTGGTCAACTACGTGGGAGTCCAGCGACATAGCCATTACACTACCTGCTGGTCCCAAAGCCTGTGTATTTTAAGTCACCAGAGCTGGGATTTGAACCATGGTTGATTTGAACCATGGTTAGCTGTGTGGGATCTAGCTTTCTATGCATAACATTTAACTGCAGCACTATAGGGTCTGCCCCATAGAGACACATTTTTGAAAAAGTTTATTTCTTCTGTGAGAGAGAGAGAGAGAGAGACAGTTATAGATAATTTTTTCCAGGGTCTTCACATTGTGATTCTTTCTGGTTCAGCTGACTCGGATTGTGGGCATGCGTGTGGTCATCCTGGGACTTTAACCTGGGATCTGTCCTGTGTTGGTCCCAGTTGTGTTCCTTCTGTGTCAACACTTGACCTCAGAATCACATTTTTTACATATTATTTTATAGGAGAAAAATACCTTCACGGATTATGATTACATAACACGATCATTCACATGCGAATTGTTCTATTAGAGATGGTGATAAAATTAACGACCAGCTTTTCCTGGTTTCTGGGTAACTGAGGGGGTTTGGGTCTGGCAGGAAATGTTTTCACTCGGCTCTCTGTCAGATGAAATTACAGTTACATGTTGGTGAACGTTCTCAATTTTAAGTGAGCAGCCAGACTCCCTTCACACTTCCACCTCATGAGACAGAGAAAGAACGGCGCTCATTAAGTTAAGTCATCCTCAGTGTCGTAGCACAGCTAGACAACTGTGCCCATAGAAATACTTCTGGAGACAATGTGAGAGGGAAAGTCAGACTTCCTATCATGTGCTAGGCCACTTCTCATCACTGTCCTCAGGAAAAGCAGTTTTAGGAATTCATTTTAAATGAAGGCTTGAGTTGCCTGTGAGTTAAAGCATATGTCAAAAAACGACTTGGACATCACTCGCAGAGAGAAATCACTTTTGCTTACTCTCAGGATCTTTTCTTGTTTTACAGGTAGTTTATGTATATACTTTTTTTTTTTTTAATAGAGAGAGATATTTGCTATAGGGCATATGTACTCACTGGAGAAATAGAGAGAGGAAAAAGAGAACTAACACCCCAGACGGGATAGGTCACGCCACAGTCCCTTGTCTATTCTCTCGGGATTTTGGGCACACGCACATGTGCCCAGCGTGAGTTTGAAGCCACCAGGTCCAGGACTTGAACCGCAGTTGGCCATGGGGAGTCCAGTGACATAACCATTAGGCCATCTGCTGGGCCCAGAGGTAGAATTTGATAAGTGGACTTTAAATAAATTAAGCTGACTTGACTTGGACTTTGAAGTCTAGCTCCTTGATGAGGCACTAGGAAAGTTTTATTCTTGCCTTAGAGATTTTTGATTTCCTCCCTAACTCCTTTTCGCACCAGTGATAGCTATAAATAGAAGGTCTTCAGTAGCTTCTTAAGACTAGTGCATACAAGAAAAAGACACAACAGAGATAAATAAAAGTGATCGTTTGAAAATTGTACTTCTAAAATAGTCATTATCATCTGTGTAAATGCCGTCTTTTTTGGTCAGAGGGAGGGTATGATTTCCAGAGTTGGGAGAGGGAGAGCACTCCCCAGTGGGCATCCTCACGTCAACCCTCTTTTCTCTATTTCTCCATCTCATCAGGATTTTAGGTGTGCGTAGATATGTGCCTGGTATGTTTTTAAGCCTCTGGGGTTGGGATTTGTACTGTATGGTCGGCCATGTGGGATCTGCTCCCTTAAACCCCCAGACCAGAGGGCTGGCTTGCCAACTTTTTTTGTTTATTTTTTTCTTTCTC